TTAATTTTTGTAAACATAAAAATATATTCCATTTTTTTACTCAAAATATTTGAATTCGTTCCTAAAATATGTGTACCAAATTTGATTGTAATATGACGTTAAATGAAAAAGGTATGACAAGATTCTACGAACTTTTTGAATGACCCTCGTATATGACATTGAATATGTAACCCCAAAGACTAGTTTTTGAAACTCGCGATTTGGATGAGATTTGTATTTACTGATACACTGGAATATATGCATCCAAATCAATCGACCAACAAAACTATAAAATTAAGCAAAACTTATTATACCTCCACTGATTTTTCACTATATAAAAGTAAGTCAATATATTTAACTGATTTCCTGAAAATCACCGTGAATAAACCGATTCCATGCAAAACAGACTGATACCCTGCAAAAAAGTTCGTTTTTTGATGAACTGAAACACACCTATTCAGAACACTTACCATTTTCTTTAAACGTACGAAAAACTTTGAAATGTCCCGAATAAACTCATGAATATTCATCAATGAATTGAAATGCATCGAGAGTCAACTGGTCCAATTTAAATAAAGAAGAACCAGTTTACTGGTTCCAAACGAGAAATGACAAGTATTGAAATTTTTTTTTTCAAATGTCTTGTTTGTATCGGTATAATAAAACAGTTGAAGTATATCATTGAGGGAGTCAGCAAGATTCCAGTTTCCCTCGAGCAAGCCTATTTCCCTCGGCGCAAGCACCTCGGGAAATAGACTTGCTCTTTGGGAACTGGAATCTTGCTGACTCCCTCAATGATATATGTAATAGGAGTCTCAGAACATCATTGTCATTAGTGGTTCTAGATTATTTTTAACACTCTCCCATATTTTCATATTAAATTATTTCCCAGGTTCTTATTTTGATTTGAGATTCTGCTTGGTCTTATTTCCGAGCCTGTGTGTACCTTGTTTCAACACCTCGTGTCAATTGTAGTGAAAACACCAATTTCAATAAACAACAAAATTTATTTAACCTTTGTATAGACAAACCATATGGTATAATAAAAAAAAATAACAACTGTAAATTCCTGCCTTATGACAAAATCCTATTTTGAAAATCAAGCAAAAATCACCCCCAACCTAGCGTACGGAAACGTTAGTCCAAACTAGCCGGGGGAAAAGGCATAGGGAAATTTAGAAAACCCCTTATTTACATTATTTAAGGAAAACCTAACTCCTAGCTTTTAGTTTTATGGTCTAATAAAATTTAACCGGAGCCACACACGACGACAATTTTTGTACAAATACCTAATAATATCTTAACTTAATTTCTAAGGGTGCAACCTGTTAAATACCTAATAAACCTCTATTAAAGTGAGAGAACTTACAGCAAATCAATGCTTTTCAAGATTTCCCACTAAACTAGTAGTTACACGGGTTTTTTTATACTTTTTGGAAACAGTAGAATATTCAGCTAGAATCTAGTGGATGCACCCAAAGGATATGAACTTTGACTGATATTAGTGACACCCAAAAGGTTAACTTCCGTATTAATAGCCAATCAAAATTTAGATTAACATTAGCCCAAAAGATTTGATGGAAGCAACACGTGCTTTTCCCTGAGAAGGTTTTTAAACATGCTAAATATAAACAAATGGTATTACGGATAAGGCAGTATACACATATATGTATGAAAACATTGATAATAACATATTATTACTCAGATACAAAGCATAAATGTATATAACAAGACCCATTCCTGCTACACTCCCCCCTTCTTAAGAAATAAATGATTATGTCATTTATTAAAAGAAAATAAAAATATATATCTCTAGCAGAAATTGAATTCAATTAAACAATAAGTCCTATTCAAATATTAAAACAGTGTTTATATTTTCTTGATGGTCTTCCGACAAGAAGGCGATCAGAGGCGTCCATTTATCACTAAACAATCCTCTTCCTGGACCAGAACCTCCTGATCTCTTGAGTTGGTTTCGGCTCGCACTAAGGTATCTCTAGAGTTCTCTTCATAGCTAGTAATGTCACATTGTTCAGATGTGTTACAATATCTAACTTGAAAATACGGTACATGTGAAGGTTAAATTACACTTGTACGTTCAAAGTCCATTTTCTCTAAAGTTGAATTAAAATTATGAATCTTGTCAAAAAGAACCTAGTAGATTTTTTTTTATTTAAAAGCATGTTCTATGTATATACGAGCGATGTTTGGTAAAATCGTGTACAAATTGTTTTTCTCGAAAAGTAATGGGCGAACTAAGCTGAAACTTTCAGTAAATATTAATTCATCATATTTAAATGCTTTAATATGTTTTTGATGATATATAGACAAAAATAAAGATTTTATTATGTTTGAATGTACACAGGGTACGGTCCCACGGTGCACGGTAAAAATAACAAGGTACATTAGAGGATACACAACAATTAATAATTAATAAAAGTTTTTAATACGTACGATTGGGATGAAAATTAACATAATTTGATTCCTTTATAAATTTTGTCGTCTCCATAAAAAATTCATGGCATATGGTTATTTTTTGCAGTTTCCCGAGCATTTGAAATGGGAAAGTGGTAGTCATAAGACACGAAAAATCGCGATTATTGATGACGTAACAGCGCACCGGAGAACAGTTCTGTTAGATTTGGATGTTGTCATGAACACCTTAAAAGACTTTTAATGAATACAGAATAAGAAAATATGACAAAAATCACCAATTCTTTAGTATATAAATGAAGTGGAAGTTTTCTTAGGGAAATCGTTTTGATTGAGTCCCAAGTTAGTGCAAAATGTACGGATAAACTGCTATTGTAATAGCAAAAGATGCTGTCAATGTCGACCGTTGATATGAGGTTGTATGTTAGTTGAATTTTGGTGAGAATACTGTCCGTAAGTTCATAATAAATCTTTAAAGGATCGCATGTATGTACCAGATTGGAACCTTTAATGATTATAGACACTCACGTATGTGAATCAATGGAATTTCTAAATTTAAGTGCGACTTATCCAATTTCATTTTTAGCAATGAAAAATGCTAAATGAAAGTGACGCTGTTTTAGATTGACACTTTGACATTATGATCCGTGCGCCTTAGGGCGATAGAATACATAACAAAAAACTAACAATTTGTTTATTTATGCATATTTCTATTTGAAATTTGCTTTGTGTATTCATAATATATGTAATAAAGAGTAGCGAAAATTTCAGAAAGCAGTGCTCATTTTTTTTTCAAACTAGACAATTTGTCCACGATTATACCGGACAACCCTCGTACAATATCTAAATAAGTGAAATTATTGACAAACCTCTGATGTTTCGAAGGTCCTTGTTTGCTCTACTCCTATTTTGTATTGCTTTATGGACTTTAAGATTGAATATTGTTCATTATTTCCATATCTTACTTGATGAAACAATAATATCAGTAGATTTGTTTAAAGTCATCATTCCGTAAGTATTATGGTCGATACATCGGCCTTGTCAGCAAATACAATTCATTATCGACAGAGTCAGATGATGACTGACGTTTATCATTATTAATGTTAGGCCAGTATTTGCACACTGAATTGACAATGGAATTTCCGCTATTTGCCGATCATGAAAAGGAGTAAACGGCGGATGTGACAGGTCGGCAGGGGATGTTTACTCCTCCATGGAACTTAATCCCACCTCTAATATTGTGGAGATCCGTGGTTGCTCTGCTCCTGTTTTGTACGGTGTGAATGGACTTTTGAGCTTGAATGCTCTTTGCTATCTCCTTATCTAGTAATAACAACTATTTACACGATGATTTCTCATGAATCACGAGACTGTCAAAAATTGTAATCAAATTAACTTATGACAACGTCGGATATTTTGTATATGTTTTTTTTAGGATACCCGTAAGCAAAAATAATTTGATGAAACATAAAAAAAACACACTGGATATTATTGGATTCAATGTTTTTTTTACAAACAAAATTTCAATGAAATGAAAATTGCAGACCCTCCATTATATAAAGTTATTATTATTTTACTATTTCAAGTTCCGTTGAATTTTCTTTTACTTATAAATTGTCAGCCGGGAAGTATACAATAGCGCCTGTCATATAACGCAGCTTCGATTTTTACTTGTAGACGATATTCAACATTAGTTTTTACGAAGTGCATACGAAAAATTGTTTTTGTCCATGTAATTGAGAAGACACATTATAATCAGATGTATTTTTAAATAAGTGAAAACCAAGGATTTAATTTTGACTTTTTGTTTTAAAAACATTCTTAAAAAGTCTTATGTGTATATATTGAAGAAATTGTTGGGCGTATAAAACTTCCGCTAATTAGGATATCACTTTTAAATATAAACTGTGTACATGTAAAGAACTCGATCTGTTTCTCCGTAAACCATATGACTTAGAATATGTTTTTGAAAGATTTAAAGTTTATTTCGTGTTAACCCTAACCCTGACGTTTTAGTTGAATAATGTTAAGTTTCGTCAATCTTATATCTCACAATCAAACAAAGATACAGGTGTAACTATGTGTACCTAATTAAGCTAGGGTACACAAAATAGATGTGTAATGTCAGACTGGTGAATCAGAGCCCGTACATGTACGTATCTTGACCGACATACCAGCGTTCCTATGCAAGTACTCATTTCTCTCAGCAAGAAGAAATAAATTGATTTCATTCTTATCGCAAAGAAGGGGTTTAAATATATTTTTCTTTAAAAGTGGGTAAATAAATGTCACCATTATAAAACAAGCTTTTCAATTGCGAACAAGTTAGACCAGAAAGTGAAACAGTTATCATGAGCATAATGCCATTCGGTAAGTGGAAAATACATGATTACCTACTATGTTATGATATTATCATGATTTTGTTTCAACATGTACAGTGAAAAAGAATTTATTCCTAATTACTATATTTTTAGTTAAGTTCAAGATCAACTCAGATAAATTTAAGTTTCTAATGTTCATAGAGTCGTTGAAATTTTATTAAAAACTTCAGTATAATTCATATTTTCAGATCAATACTACCCGCAATTATGAGTAAGACAAATGTAACAGAGCAACACTACATTGAGTGTGCCACGTGTAAGAACTACTCCACATTTTACTGCAACACCTGTCACCAGCGATTATGTGAGCAGTGTAGATATGTCCATCTCCGTGAAAAAGAAAACCGAAAACACCAGGTAGTCCTTTATCAGTAAAGGTTAAAAGAGTTGCCTACAGAAAAATGTCCTGTCCATCCAACAAAAATCTTAGAGATATTCTGTGCTGATTGTTCCGCCCCTGTTTGTTCAAAATGCTTTGCGACAGATCACAATGGCCACCAGGTACTTGACCTTGAATTTGTATATAATGTAAGTCTTCAACAATGCCAGAAAGAACTTATCAAGATTCGAGACAACATTCTTCCTCAATGTATAGATGAAGTAAACTCACAGAGAGAGGTAGCTGAAGAGGCCAAGAAGAAAATATGGAAAGTCAGATTAGCTATTAAACACAGTGCAGATGAGATTAAATCGATAGTGGATAGTATTCTGACTGAAAACAATGCCAAGTTAGACATAATAGAGACATCAATTTTAGATGAGAAAATAAAGGAACAGAAAAAGTTAAAAGACTATATCTCATACCTGAGATTACTATTGATCGAGGACTACACTAGTGATCTTTCATCATGTCAATTAACAGAAATTATAAGGTACAATAAAAAAAGTAAAAACATTCCTCTGATGAAATATCTTGAAATAATTGAACCTGGCATTCCAATGTTTACAAATGGCAGAAAGATAAAGGAAGAAATAGAATCGATTTTTGGCCACATAAAACCACGTGCAGAAAGACTGAAAGTAGTTGAAACAATAAAGGCATCAATACATCAATTTAACTCCAAACCATATCAAAAACTAAGTGTGGTGCTATCCAGATCTATTTCAAAAACACGACAATTTAATTTATCTGGACTCAAAGCAGTTATTCATTTATCATCAGCAGTTCGATCTAGCAGGTTTTGGGCAAGTGATGATATTTGGGAATCTCATTCAATTTGACATGCATGGAAATGCACTAAAGAAAATATTCACAGAAAATATTCACAGAAAAACAAATAAAAGGATACCACGCAGTTACAGATAACGACGATTTACTTTACACAGATTATATAAAGAAAACCGTCTACAAAGTAAATAATGATATGTCAACCACAGCATTAGTCCTCACAGGAGACTGCGGGCCAAGGTCTATCTGCTCCTCTCATTTACATTATAATGTAGGTTTTTCAAGAAATCAAATCTCATAAACCTTGGCGGAGGATCCTTCTTGTTGAAATATGATCATGTACCAATTGTATTTTTTATTCATTTTAATGTTTAAAAGTAATACATGTTCCATACTGGTCGGATATGGAGTTTTGGACTAAATCCCCCCCCCCCCCCCCACACACGATTTATAGTTGAGTACAAACGATACTTATAGAAATACTTGTGACTGATTTAAATTAACAAATATTAACAAATATTTGCAAAGTATAGTTTTTGCCATATAACGATTAAATTGTCAGATCTCGATGGTTTATTTTTATTTTGTAATTTGTTAAACTTGTTGCTGAACAACATTGTGAATCTCATCAATCGTTATGATTTAACAGTGAATGTGGTCATGTGAAAAACCTGTTTTTATACAGGTTTTAAAATGTAAGAATGAGATAATGTTATGCAAGAGGTAATTTTTGCGAAGCAATGTAAAAAGAATACAGTGTACGAGTATAAATTCCATTTTTTCTGGGACTGAAAAAAAGGGACCCGAAAGTGAAATTAATAATCCAGAAATAAATGTATTCTTTCTTCATTTCATACTCCGTGGTACCCATTGTAATCTTTTAGAACCATTCCCAGATAAGCTTGGACTTTCAGTAAGGCGTGGTATTCTCAGCACTACGTAGTTAGTGTCTGTCAAATGGCATATAGATTCTCATTGTTTAAGAAATTATTAACATTAGGAAATTTTAATTGTTGTTGACAATGATGAGACAAACTTAGGCTCCACCTCTTTGCCGGACAATGTTATTGGTTATTCGATACACTAATTGGCGTTTGTCCGAATTTCTATCCCATGTATATTTCAACGTGAGGGAAAGCTGTGTAAATTTCAGAAGTTAATCATGTAAAGTCAAGCATGCCACGCCTTACTGAAAATCCAAACTTAACTGGGAAATGTCTAATTGTGTGTCATACCATTCCAGCCTTATGGTAATATGAGATACGAAGGATGTGTGTATGTGTCAGGATGGAGTGGGGGTGGGGGTTATTATTGAAAATATTATCTTCAAAATATTTTATAAATTGTTGGTTAAGTTAAATACCGGTATTTCTTTAGGGTCTTTGGGAAGATTACGGATTTTTTTATTCTTCTTTTTTGTAGCACCCCCCCCCTTTACTTTGAAACTTTAGCCATGCACAGACTTGCCTCATATGCAATCACTTGTAGATTTAGAGGGGGCCTTGGGGACTGGCCCCCTTTTTTTCCAAAAACTACTTGATATTTGATAGATCAATGTTTTTTGTGAGACTGTGGCCCCTATTCTGACCTCAAACTGGTCACCCCCCCTCCAAAATTTCTGGATCTGCCACTGGCAACCTAGGTATTTTTTATCATCCAAATTTACATGTCTTAATGTGTCCTAAAGTAAGTATTTCATTCGAGGTATTGTTTATTGATATCGATTTAAAAAAAAAAAAAAAAGGAAAATTAAATTAACGTCATTTCAATAAGAATTCTAACTAGCATTATTTTTGCCAACTGTAGCAAATAGAAAATGTTCCAATACTTCTGTGTTTCTTTATTTTCTGTGCTATATAGCATTTGTGCTATTATATATACATATTTGCATTTCTAATTTTTTTCTCTGTGATAACTCTTTGAAAGTTAGCGGAGTTGATTTCTTGGTAATTCTACCGGAAAGTAAATAAGGCAGGTCAGTAGGTCAGGAGCTAAGGAAGCTTAATATGCATGCAAATCTCGTGCTCATCTGTCTCTGTGTCTGACGCTAGGGAGGCCAAATATGTATGTTACTCTCGTGTGGCTGCCTTTGTGTTTAACGTCAGTGGGTGAGGACTTTTGAAATAGACATCGGAGTCCTCGTGTAAATAAAATCTATGGTTAAATTTTTAAAGCCTAAATTTTCAGTTTTATTTCACAATGAAATGGAAATAGAAGGAATCACTGTCTAGTTAGTATAGTATGCCAGGTAGATCAACAATAGTAGGAAACATGGGATAATTTATGCATAACGCGTTTCGCCCGTTATGCATATTATCCCATGTTTCCGCTATCGTTGATGCCATGACATACTATACTAACTAGATAGTCATTCCTTAAATGTAAATGTATTGAATCAGATGAGCTAGTCACCAAGGGGATCGATCTAGGATCTAATTATGAAGCGCCGAGAACGTATTATGTCCCCTGCAGTTTTATTAAATAAAAGAACACATTAAATGAAGGTTTTTTTACATATACAAAACAAATGTTGGGAAACTTCTTTTTTATACTCCCCTTTAAGAAACAAACATCTCTTGTTTAACTTAATTTGGACTATATATGATAAGAGCCAATGTTGGCCCCCTAAAATCAACATTTTAGAATGATATTCAGAAATTTTTTAATTGATATTTACTTTGTTAAAGAAATTATATTAGAAATATTTCCAATAAAGTTTTCACATGTTTTGCTATCTAACGAAACAGCCCATAATATGCCTTTTTCTTGATGTTTTCTTATGGGAAACATAGAGCGCAATGTAGAACATACATTATTTTTCTGTATCTAATTATTATTAGATAGATACCTCTTTGATAAAAATATAAAGTTTGTTCTAGGCTGCGCTCAATATTTTCTGATAGCAAAAATGCTAGAAAATAAGCAGTGTTATATAAAATATGCTAAAATATGGGCAAAACGTGAACTTTATGATGTCATATTTCTAAATTTTGATCAAATTGAAAATTACCAGTAAAGGTCGCTCTACAAATTAAAGCTTTATATATAAAGTAAAATCAAGATAATCATTTCAAGGGGCCATTTGAAACACTTATCATATATTGCTCTTTGAGAAAAAAAAATCTAAGGTTTATGTTTGCATTGATCTCAAATGAAATTACCCCGATAAAACCAAAACAAAATTAAAACAGAAAATTTGTCATTCTGATGCAGTTAACAAGGATCGAGAAATCAACATGCTTATTTCCATTTCTAATTGTTTTCCCTACGATAAATACTACAAAAGTCTACCATCATTTTATTTTTTGGTAATTCCTGTGACATGTACATCTATATTTCTCTATTTAAATACTACTGAAAGGTCAATTGTCAACGTGCATTTATATGAGTGGCGTATGAATACACTGGAGGAGAATAGATGTTTCGTTTAATTTGTTACAAAATAATTAGATATAATATCTTTTTTCAAACAAAATAAATACTGAATTTCCTACGGATCAAAAGCAAGTCGCTAGCGCAACGCTGTCCACTATCGCCGAGGCCTCGAGATGCCGAGAACTCCACTTCTGGAAACAATCCATCTGAATCACGTCGATAATTCGGCACAGCAACATACACACTATCATCTGATACAGACATCATCCCACAGTCATAACCATCCGACTTCGCATTCGTAAGAACTCAACTTCCTCTGCTTTTTTTTAATATCCACACAAATCTGTTTCCTGACCAACTCCAGTTTCATCAACTGCAACCTTACATTCAATATGGCGGTGGAATAGTAACCTAGAGCTTAATAAACACATGCTCCTGACACCCTAAAACTAGTTGACATATAGAATAAAAGTTAACAAAATTGCTTTAATCATAATTTAAAATTCTTTTGTTGTTTTTTCATAAATGTTGACATTAAACTATAGTTATTTTACAATCATTTAATTTGTTTCGTGTTTATATGGGACTATCTTTTATAGTAAAATTTGACGTCAAGAGGGGTCAAGCCCGTTATGCAAATTTTCCTGTGTTTCCAACTGTCGTTGATGCCCTGGCATTGTCTCCAAACTAGACAGGAATTTTTCAAAAATTGTTTGTAAATATATTGCAACTAAACAGTCTTTTTATTGTGAAATTGATATTGTTGAATATATTTCCTTTTGGGATCATTTAATTTACATCGGGTTAGGCGATTATGTAGGCTTATATAAACGTGCGATTATATAGGCTGTCTTAGCGATTTCTGTCAGTCTTTCAATCGAATCTTCTCGGTTCTCTACCTCAGTCGTTAGAAAAACAATCGAATCTTCTCGAGTCTTTCCGTCAGGTTGGAAAAACAATCGAATCTTTTCGGGTCTTTCCGTCAGAGGTCAGAAAATCAATCTGTAATGTATTAGCATCATCGGATGTTAAAAATCTAAACATCTTCCTGTTTATTCTGTGGTATATTAAAGTAATACGTGTATCTTTGCCTTCATTGAAGATAAACTCCAAGCTCCACAGATAAGAAGTGTTCCTATTGTATTTCAAAATTTGTAAAAAGAGGGGTTGTCATGGCGTCCACGAAATACATTCAAAGGTTTTTTTCCGCTAGTCGGAAAGGCCCCAGAAGCTGCAATCGCGATTTCTTTTTAAATCCATTCTCTGACATGTTACTTATCATTAAATATACCGTTTGGAAGCATACATGTATGTACATGCATATATAAAATTTAGAATACTATAGCTGTTGTCATGATGTAATGTTGTGTTTACTCTCACATAGTAAAGAATTAAATACGGTTGTTGCATATATCGGCCTAGTAAATTTGCAAAAAACAAACAGTAATATTGTCAGGTATATTATGCTTATTTATTTTCTATACCCTCGGGTCTCTCCAACCACGGTATTAAAATGGCGCCAAAACGTCACACATATACTATGTACATTTCAAAACCTTTCCGTGTACCGATAATTCCACTAAATATTGCAATTTTTATGATTTTGATTGCAATTTTCACTATGGCCGCAACGAACGCGATTCATGAGACTTATATATGTTTTTGATATAACTGAAATGTATTAATTTATAATGATCCCATCAATCGCGTTTGCTGCGGCCAACACTAAAATTAAAGTTTTAGTTATTCCGGATTCCAATAAAAAGCAAGTTACAGTAATATTCTTACTTCAGAAATCGTATGGTCCTTTTCATTTTGCGATTAAATGAAATATAATTTTTAATCATAAATTATTAACATACATTATGTAACAATAAGAGTGAAATTGCCTTTGAAAAAATAACGCTTATTACGGATTTTTTTCAACAACACCAGTTTGGTTTGTTTCGTTATCTACAAAAAGCGTCCGTGACAACATAGATGTAAATTATGAAGAACGGGTGTAGAGTCTGCAAGCTGCATTTAAACCAGAAGAAAATGACCAGGTAATGATTAAATACATAATTGCATAATATGGGAGTTAAAATTTGGCAAGTTGTTGTTAAGAAGACATCAACATCATGGTTATGTCGTCTGATAATGTCGCACGTTAGTGTAATGAAAATGACGTCAGCGAACATTCGAATCATATAATTGGAGCAATAATGCCCAAAATAAGTAAAGTAGATTTTGATTAACCCTTACATTCGTTCATATTAGTGATATGAAATGTTTTGATAATCGAAAATTTAAGAGCTATAATAAATTTCTTGCGCATCAAAGTACACCTAAAATATTTTACAAGAAAATGTAAGAAGCCTGAATGGCTGAATGGTTATAGTAGATAGGTATCCGAGCGGAAGGTCGTGAGTTCGAATCTCACTCGGGGAGTAACTTTTTTTTTATTTGTACATGTATATTTCAAAAATCGTTTACTAGAAATTAAAAAAAAATCTGTTTATTTATTTATTTCCAAATGTAGAATTGTATATGCATATTTTATAATAATATAACATTTTACAGAAAAGAAATATCACAAGAAGAGAGTTAAAATGATAAATGGATGGGATTAACTACTGACACTAAATCAGGTAAGGGTGTAATGTATAAATTAAAGGTATACCGGGGTATGTCTTCCATTAATATATTTTAATGAAATGATTTTGGTGAGAGCTTTTGATAGAAAATAAATACAGTGCTCTCTAATTTTTTTAAGATTAATTACAATGTAAAAAAATATATATATTTGGTGTAAAAAATAACAATAAAAGAAAAAAAAAATTTCTACTTTACATATATATTTGGCGATGATGATGGCTCTAAAGATTTTTGTTACTTTACTTTTAAATTTATTTTCAAGGTTTTCTTTTGAGATTTACAAATGTGTTGCAAGGTGGAGTAATTAATTTTGTCCGTACATTAATACAGGATGCCAGGAACAGGACCTAAATCATATCCCTGTATTCTGTGTAATAAGAGAACTACACCAAACGACAGGTACAAAATAAAACCTAAACATACTTCTATATTAGAAAGAAAGTATTTACAAAAGGTAACAGAAGAAGATGTTATGTGTAGGAAGTGCAGATATATGTGTGAATCGCAATTACCAACTTCTGAAAGTATCTCCAGTACTCAGGAAAGTGAACCAAATAAAAGAATGAAAATGTCTGTGACTGCAAGTCCACCTTCTGTGACTCTTAGCATCCCCAGCACATCAAAGAGCCATGCGAGTTGTCTTATATGTAAAAAGCCAGGTCCAAAGCTTATAGTGGTGACTCAGTATGCCCGTGTCAGAGCTTTCTTACGAAAAAAAATGTTTGTTCCTGCCGGCTCTAGATGTTGCCCAAAACATATTGCAGATAAAGAGTTTACTGACGATGCACTACAACAAATGCAGCAAACAAACCCTGACACAAATATCAACAGGACATCCATTGTAGAACTGCTCCAACAAACTAGGGAATTCGCTCTACGGAATGAAAGTATTAGACTCAACTTTGATGACGCCAAGAGTATGGATAACGAAGATTATTATAATCTTACTGGGTTGACGAAAGACCAGTTTGATGAGCTGCTCTCATACCTGAAAGACGTTGACATAAGGGCAACCAAGACCAGAAGTGTGAGGACTTGTATTGCTATTCTATTAACCAAATTGCGTTGTGGAATGAGCAATCATTTGCTTGGAACTCTCTTTGGCATGCAAAAATGGCAGGTAATTTCTTTAATTTACAAATAATCTACATTGTAGTTGTTTGTAATCTCTCCAAAAAAATAATAGTATAGATCTGTGTTTTCTTTTCTAGATAAGGCGTGCTGTATTGACAGCAAAACATGCTCTGATGTTGAACTTTGTTCCACATCATTTGGGATTTTCCCACATTACCCGGGAGGACGTTAAAGAAAACCACACCCGTCCACTTGCAAAAGAGCTGCTCTGTACTGTAACTGAAAACCCAGTAATACTAGTACTTGATGGGACATATATATACCTACAAAAAAGTGGTAACTTTACATTCTCAAGAAGATCATTTAGTACTCATAAACACAGGCCGTTGATTAAACCTATGATAGTGGTTACTACATCGGGGTACGTTGTTTCGGTGCTTGGGCCATACCTAGCCGACTCCAAGAATTCAGATGCTAAGATTTTGACGCATATGATAGAAACCAACGTAGAGGAAATTAAAGATTGGATAAAGGAGGAAGACATATTCATTGTCGATAGAGGGTTTAGGGATGCGGAAACTCTACTCAACGACATTGGAATTCATGTTGAAATGCCTTCCTTTCTACCACGTGGAACAAAGCAACACACAACAGAAGAGGCTAATGCAACACGTTTAGTTACAAAAGTGAGATAACTATTGAAGAAACTCAAGATCAAAAGCATAATTATTTTAAAAATGTATATAAGATGTAATTTTCAGAAGTATTTCAATTGTGCTCTGATTAAATAAATGAAAAAGAACTGTAAATCAAAGTAAATCAATTAAGATCAACATTTGTTTTTTAGCTACGATGGGTCGTCGAAAGTGTTAATGGTAGAATCAAAACCTGGAATTACTTGGACAGAACCATTCCCAATAGCCAGATACCACACATCGGAGACTATGTTCGGATCATTAGTGCCATCTGCAATAAATTCAGGCCTGATGTTAGTACAGGATTAGAGAGTGACTTGTCGACAGCTGCGAAGATGCGTTTTCTCTCCAAGGAAGTCAATGTACTCAAGGAATATGTAGAGACAAATGGTAAATTGCTACTGTAACTCAATATAAGAGCATTACATCAATGTAATTTCTAGTCTATTAATTATTACTCCCCTGCCGGTGAAACCGGAGGTGATTACAGGTCAAGATTGTACTTCGTTCCACTTCATTTTTTTTTCTAAACGCTTGCATTCTGAATTTTTAGTAGGTGTGCATCAGATTTGCATTTCATTCCGCTTCAATGATTTTTTACAGAGTTATGGCATTTTCATTTTTTAACGGGGACCAGATTTTACAAGCCGATAGGGGACTATTGCTTATGCAGTGCTCTCAGAATGCTTGTTTTATAATATCCTGATAAATTATGAATTTCTAAATTTATTACAACTAATTATGAGTAACATGCTTTTTTAAATGTAGGTTTAGACAAAAGGCAAGTAAGGTGGCGGAAGATTGACGCCAGCGACACAAGCATTGCATTTCCGCAACTGTCGGAAGAAGAAATAAGAGAATTAACAATGGGGGTATACCAGATAAAACTAGCTAAATCCTATGCTCAAGAACATCTGGATAAAGATGGCACTTATGAAATTTACGTCAACAATGACCATGATGGAATTCTACGTGCAAAACTTCAAAGCAGGCATACATCGGCAAAAACGTATTTATTGTGGATTGGGTTTGATGAGATAAATATAAAATCATGGTTTTGCAAATGCAAAATAGGTTCAAGAGTGGTGGGAATGTGCTCCCACATCACTAGCGTTATATGGTTTTTATCCTTTGCGAGGCACAGGGAAAACCCAAAGATTGGAGTTCGGAGTTGGTGCAGTTACGTCGATGATGCCGCAGCGCTGCCCGTTGATGATTCCGACAGCGACGAAGACAGCCTTGTCGGAAATGAAGAGGAGTGATATTAACATGTTAACATTTTAACTTATTAAAAGTTATTGAACTTATTAACACGTTATTAACATTAATATGTTTACATTCGGTTCAAATGATTTTAAGATTTGAAAATGTTTTTTGAAATTCACAGAGAGAGAGGGGGGGGGGAGGTTGCTTCTTTAGTACTACAGCAAAACTCGGTTATAACGAAGTCGCTCGGACCTTTGAAATTACTTCGCTATATCCGTTACAACTGTATGTAAAATTCATTAAATTTATATAGCTGGGGATTGAAAATGACTTAGCTATATCCGTGAATTCGCAATATCCGTGTTCGTACTAAACGAGTTTTACTGTAGTTTTTGAGAGAACGTAATGAGAACGAGGAAGAGAAATAAAAGTAATGAATTTGTCAAGGTATTCAATAGGGATATCAATTTGTTACAAGTTAATTGTTTACTAGGTCGGAGCTATGGTAATCGTTAGAAAATCTGTAATAAGTTAGGCGAAAAAGTTTTAAAAAATTAAATTTGAACGCAATTTTTTGAAGTTTGATAATTTAGGATTTCACACATTCATTGATTTAAATGTGACTACTAGTATGATTCTACGGACCGTGGGGCATGGTTCTTGGTCATTTTGTGTCTGAAGTGTAAATTATTGTTAAAACACGAAGTTGTTACCCCGACTGACCTGTAATTCTTTGTGTCCAATCCCTTTGGCATTTGTCAATGAAATATGTTCAAAATTCATTTATGATAATTAAATCACCGTTTAGTACTGTTAATTAAACACTGTAAATTTGAAAATGTAATTCAGAATAAATCTTAATTATGGTGACAACGCTGAATGAACTTAGGTGAAAAGATCTATGCCTTTTTTCTCAGACATGATTCATGGTTTTCTTGATTTTTTTTCCAGTCTACTGAAACTGAAAATATAGATATATAATACATGTAGTATGCATATAATTTTCTCATCAAGAATCAAGACAAATAGAACAGTTTTAAAAATTTTAGACTTAAGTTCTTCTTGTGTACATGAATTACTTATGAGAAAAAAAATATTGAAAATATATTTTGATATGGTTAAGCGGTTAACCGCTCTTTAGGTTAACCGATTAGCAGTTCCGTATTCGGTTGCCATCTCTAGTATTTAATGAGAGAATATTTTTTTTTGAGAGAGAAAGAGATTGCATGCTGTAGATTTACTATTTTCAGAGAATAAAAATTGTCTTAATTATATATTTTGTACATTGTTTTTCGATGAATAATTTCAGTGACGTTACATATGTTCTTACGACGTCAAAAAGGAAAAATATGGTAAAAAGGATGCAAAATTGACAGCGTTGTTTCTCCAATACTAAATTATACACAAATATGTAACCACTGTCATCTGAAAAGATAAATCTTCTAGATTTATATTCCAAAATATTTTTAAATTTGATGGTAGGCCGAATTTTGCCCTTACTGTACCTTGTTTTTAAAGGTTTCGAACATGACATCTTTATAAAATATGATTATACAGTGTAACTATTCTTTTATTTTTTTCTTGAACACTTTTTACACAGGTGAAAAAGTGGGATTGCAGTGTGTTAAAAACATGGAAAGTAGTAAAATGGGAAAAAAAATTAACGTCGGAATTCACAGTGTGTCGGATTATTCAAGCGTCGGATTAGATAGTTTTCACTGTTTTATTAAATTATTGTTTTCAAACTCATTCATTATTTTGCGATAAAGTAAAAGATTTCTCTGATGGTACTTATTCTATGCATTTAATTAAAACATTTATCATTGGAAAATTATCAGTGGAAAAGGTAGTTTAAAAAGTTTGAAAATGTCCATGTGCATTGCCTATGTTCTTTTAAGTAAAAAAAGAATTTTGCATATTTTTATTGCTCGCCTGACCACTGCACCATGACTGTCACCACTGTAGGATCGATTCCAGTGTTCATCATTCTTCTGTAGCATATTAAGCATACATATTCTTGATGCAGAGTATTTGTTGATTCACGTGTATATTTTTAATTTTACGATCTTGTCCTGAGAGTACATTTGAATTCTTAATTTAAATTCAAACACCTTTCGCTGCAGTAAATCATATTAATATACTTTCCAAAAACTATACATACTTGGCATACTCGAAGTATTTAAACTGCAAATTTTATTTTGAAAATACATTAGATATGCCAAAGAACGAGGAAAATTACAAGAAAGTTCTCTAGAATTGAAATATATAAGATCCAAGTATTCAGTTTCATCATAAAGAGACAGAGGGGTGGGGGGGGGGTGCTGATAAAATTTCTCACCAGCAAAGATCTGTTAGAAATGAAAAATATAGGGAAAAAATATTAACTTTAAAAATCACATATTTACACAAAAAATGCATGACACAATCCCGGATTGGTTGCAGCTGCAACAATAATGTACTCAGGTTACACTAATCACGAATAAAGGATAAATGAATCTTTTCTCGAAACAATATAATTATATTGTTCAATGTTTTACATTGTACTTTTGTGTTATACCGGGTATATTCTTGAACAAAAGTTGTCAATATTGATGCCTCATTTTTTCCAAATTTGGAGAAATTGAGCAGGTTAAAAATACAATAGTGTAAATTTATTTCTCGATATGTGTATCTGAAACGTTTACAGTGACATGTGTTAAGGAATGATGATATAAACATTTTTTTTTTGTTTGAAAGAGATATAATATCATCAAATATCACTAATATTTTCTAAGTCTATTTCATTTTCCAGTTCTTAGGAGAAATAAAGTCTGAAAATTATCCACTTTTCTAAACATGTGACATGATATTAAGTCTCTTCCAAAGAAACAAAAATGTTTGTATCATCTAACTTAATCTGTATCAAATCTAAAATACAAAGTTTTGATAAAAAATATTCAAATATAATATATATTTTAGATTGACTTTTCAAATCGTTGTATCAAATTAGAAGGAATTCTTTTCTGTATTTTCAGTAAAAAAAAGAAAAGAATTGTTTTGAAAGGATTTGTTTATCATTTTATTTATCCCTATTTTATCTTTTTCTCTCAGTTATCTGACTGTCTGTTTTTTAAATCCGGAGCTTAAAGAAGTTCCCTTTACTTGCTAGAAAACGTAGTTAAACTCCAATAACTACCATTTATATAGCACAGGGGCATATAATAATAATTTGGCAAATGATATATCATTATACAGAAAAGGTGGATGTATGTGTCCCTTAAGTATTGCAAGACATTTCTAAATATTATAGCATTAAAGGTTGCAGTTGCAACGCTTAATGATACACTAATGTGTATCATTAGTCGTCGGCTATGTCGATATTTGCTTGTTTCATTAAGCGTAAGTGTTGCTCTGCATTTGTGACACTTAATGATATAATTCCACCATTAAACGGCGACATAGCATTAGCTGTTAAGAATGTCAGCTATTAATGCAATAATTTATGGCATTAAGCGTTGCAATTGCAACGCTTAATGCGATTTGTATCATTAAGCGGCGTTTTCTCATTAGAGGTTGCTACAGTGCTCCAAAAAGAAGAAGCGTTGAACATTTTAACAAATATAATTAATCAGGAGTAAAATTTTGAGTGAAAAAATTTACATCTGAACACAGAAATTTCATTCTTTTTTATAAAAAGGGGGATAAGGGTTGTTTTCCTTGTTTTCATTTTTCTTTTCAGTATATACTTATTATTACCTGATTGCAGGTAAGGAATAAAATGTACATTTAATTCAAACCTTAAAAGTAAGAAAATTACATTCAAACAAATCTTAAATTTCACAGACAAACAAAAGAGATACAATTTTTCAAGTTTCGTTTCTTCGTCACAAAGAATATATTTACAGAATAAATAAAATTCCCATGCAGATATATTTTCAAATCATAGGGAGATTTCGTGAAAACATATGTATATTATATATTTTATGGTCAGATTTCAGTCTTTAATCTCCTACAATTTTAAATTTTTGTCATGGAATTTTCTACGACCTGGTGAAATTTATTGCTTAATATATTATTAAAATAAAAAAGTAAAATCAACCGTAGGGTAGGGTGGTGAACTTAATTCAAATCTGGTTTAGTCACCCCACCCTATAAATTCGGGCGCCTTGTAGCAGTAGGCATGAAAAAGATCCTTCATAACTCAATGGCGATGAATGCCAGGTATATATTGTTTCATGTTTGAAGTAACTCGTTACAGTAGTCACTGTACACGTATAGTGCTGATCCATTGATTTCATAATTACAGAATTGTTTAATGAAATGAAAAAAAATTGTCGTCAAATTTTGAATCTAATCAATGAAAATTCAAACAGAGCGTTTCTTAAATCTTTCAATACCATACTGAGTAAACTCTGGATATTTCTTTAAAAATCCTTTTATGTGAACGTTTGTTCTTCTTTTTTACTTTAGATATTGAATTTTCTTAACGCTCCCACTATCATACTCAGCAACAAACAACACGTCATTTTTGTCCACAAATATTCCACACGGGGTCTTCAGATCACAGTTATCTATGAAACGAAGGAATTGTCCCTCTCTGTCAAGGATATGGATGCAATGATTCGAGAGATCTGCAGTTAAGATTTGACTCTGACTGTCTGTTGCTATTCCTTGCGGTTGAAACGGTTTATCTTTAGTAGTAGAAGATGACCAGAGTATCTTAATCGGAGTTGTCCGGATTGATTGACCAATACTACGGCATGGGCTTCCCAGTCAGCTACACAGATACCCATGTTTCTCTTCTCCGTGATGTACTTCACTTTGTACCTTCCTGAATATAGAGGTTTACCCTCGTTATCAAACTGGATCGTCTGTTTCTCTGTGGATCCTGAATATCGGACAACCTTGGTTTGTGTTTCGTCATCACTGGACATGGTAACCTGGAGATCACCAGAGGAGGTGCTATATCATATGACACAGATTTAGTTTTGATTGTTTTGATAACTGACCCATGAATGCAGAAGCATTTCAATTCTATGATATTATATGCACATGTCCAGATTTCTTTATCGCCGTTACAATTAACACTAGGGAGATATTTATAGCCAGTTTCGGAACGTCCATCATTTCTATTTCACCGGTGTCTTTAACAATGTCATCTCTTTTTGAGCTGCAGACATCACTAAGTGTTGAAATGACATGCCCCTTATGTGTATCAGACATTGTTGTACATATAAAACAAACAGAGATTTTGCAATCTCTACAATAAATTTCACAGCTCTCTGTTGGATGTGTTGTACATTTAGGATAAAGCAACGTTGATTTCTTCTTTTGAAATGGGACGACTTTATGTTTATCGTAGTCATCAGAAATATGTTTTCCTACACAAGAGATGCATAAATTAACATGGCACACGTCACAATACTTCTGTACTAAAGCTTCCTTGCAATGGTCACAGCGGATGACATGTTTGGCATTGTCGCTTGGATTCATGTCAAAACTGAAATTTAATTGAGTTACTAGCTTTCCAGAGGAGAATATTTCTGCATGAAATGTAATGAATATGTGTAAATACTTGTATTGTTTAGAAAAATGAACGTTACTCAGTTTTCCGTATATATAGCATTTACTTGGAAAACATTAATGTCTCGTCAAATTAACTCATTATTTATATAGAGGAAAATAAAACAAACATGATTTTGTACACGTTTATTTTTAATTAATATATTGGCGATTGTTGGTCGTGGCTTAAAGCAACAAAGGGGGTGCCAAGCAGGGCGACCCCAAACAATTTCAACAAGCAGCAACAACAATCAAGCAAAATATTACATGTACATGTACTTATAATAAGCAAAACAATGGCCGTTCCGGGTTTACCGCAAACGGTAATTAACCTTACAATTAA